CCATCCATCCATCATCCATCCATCCATCCATCATCCATCCATCCATCCATCCATCCATCCATCTCAGTAGAGAACATAATGTGGCATTAAAAGCACTTTGGGTATTTACCATAATAAGACCAGATGAATGGAGGATATTTTATGTAGCATGCAATGGTTATTCAATAAGGAACATTTCCCCGCAGTGAGGAAAGAAAGAAGGAAAGTCTAAGATCAAAAGTAAAAATGCACAGAAAAAAAAAAAAATAAGGTAAAGACCAAAGTAGTTCTTAGAATCCAATTGTAATTCTGGTTTTCTCTGGAATGCTAGATAAGCCATCAAAGCTGCTAAGTTATATGATGTCTGAGAAAGATAAATTCTTTACATGTTAAAAAAGAACAAACTAACAACCAACAGGATGAACATTTGGGAGGCCTGACTTAGAACCTTTAACTCCTAAAAGCTAATTCAATAATTAAAAACATGAGGTTTGGTAAAAATATACTTCAGTTTATTTCATTTTTATACTTTTTAGTGTGAGTTTAACAAATTTTCAACAAACGTAAAGCCTGTTTTTAAAACCCCAACAGAAACTGAATTCTATTGGTTCTCCGTTCGGGGGCTGTGATCCTGCAGCCTCATGGGAGAAACTTGGTCTGTGGAAATCTGTCTGGCCAAAAATCTGTTTGCTTGACAACATTTTGCAACAGTTTTCTGCCTTCCATCAAACCAACAGAAAAAAAAGAAATAAAAACAGATTCAATAAAATAAGAATAAAACATTAAAATTAATCAGTTTCTGCTAAAAGCAAACGTCATTATGCGCTTTGCAGCTGAAGACTTTTGCTTCAAAAGTCTGTTTTTCATCACAAACGGCTCCAGATATTTATATTAGCGTAACACTTCCACTGGGGGGGATTTATCATCAGGCAATACTAGGCAGTTACCTGGGGCCCCAAGTTCCTGGGGGCCCCATAAAAATCTCTTTACATGTATGGTTAATATAACTTTTCCTCATTTGTGCACATTTTCATAAAAATCCTTTGACTAAAATGCCATCAGAAAGCCTTATAATTATAAGTGTGACTTTGGAG